AAATTTTTGCAGAAGTGTGCCGAGTAGAAAGATACCCCAGATTAAGGTTCAGGTTAACGGGCATATCTCGAGTACCTGTAAGGTGCAAAGTACTCTTAGGTTCTGGTAATACAAAATGAGGATTAGTACCCTGATCCTCAAAGATCTTGTAGACATGAGGGGAAATCCATCAATAACAGTATGATTTAAGAATGAAAAGGAAAAGGTATACAGGTTACAGTTGGAGAAAGAGGAAGAATTCGTATTCCAATCTGTGGTGGCTAGAGGAGGTTTACTAGTAAGGGGAGTGACATCTGTACTGAAGCTTAAGAACCAGAACGTTAGCTGAAAGGAAGGGGGAGGGTCTACTTAGGCAAACTCCCGTGGAGTCTTTTGGAAATTTTATTTAACACTTTATTTTGGCTGGAATGTTTGAGTGTATGGCATTTGAGGCAATTTTAAAATTTGAGGCTGGAGATGTGGAATGGGCTCAGATCTTAAAAGGTTTGTATTCCTTCTAAAGGAATTTGAAGTTTGTCATGAAGATTATAAATTTACATTTTTTTAATGGAACTAAGATAAAAATGGAGCGGGGGGGAGGGGGGGGTTCCTGGAGACTCGTATACCAAGAAAAAGGTTATTATAGTAACCTTGGGTAACGACAGCCACAGATATGATGGCCACAATGGTGTATGTCATAGCAGGCACAATGAGGAACTCTATTCTAGCAACTGAAGTTAGGATGGGAAAGGTAGTAACAGTCAATAAGTGTGAATCAAACATTTTTCAGTAAATATGGAGACAGTACAATAAATTGTAGAACAGTTAAGTGCATATGTCTGTTGTCCCTGAAATGAGAGAAGGTAGAGAGAAAACTTAATTTTAAAAAAGGATTTTAATTCTGTGTCTTAAAACGGTGCTCAATTCTTATTGAAAAATTTTCTAGTAAAAATGCTGAGTGCTCTATAGTGAATAATCAAGTTAATTTCTCAACAGAATCAAAATGAAACCTTATAATTTAAAAAATTATTATGATTTAAAAAGTAGTAAAACTGTTATTTCTACTGAATTTAAAAGTGACTGTAATACAATATCCAGAAAATATGGAAAATTTATAACAAAAATAAAAATTACCTTGTCTCAATGCAGAGAAAGACAATGCCAAAAAACCCCACTTTTTTCTTTAAATGATAGGGTGGGTACCAGTGGAGAAAAACAACAAGCAGTATTGCTGGCATTCCTCTGTAGTTAATTATGAATTTGAAATAGCCCTGGTACTGAAGCTTCATCCTGATGATTCTGGTCTTTTGGAAATTACTGCAGTGCCACTATCAGACCTTTTAGAACAGACGCTGGAGCTTATAGGAACGAATATTAATGGAAACCCATATGGTGAGTAAAGCCTTTTTCTGTTCAGTTGTAGTTATAGTAATTCATTTATAAGGAGAACCTAGGTTCAACTTACACACACAGAGAAATGACTAATAAACTTGAGTAGCCTAGACCCGTGGTCGGCAAACTGCGGCTCGCAAGCCACATGCGGCTCTTTGGCCCCTTGAGTGTGGCTCTTCCTAAGCCTTAGGAGTACCCTAATTAAGTTAATAACAATGTACCTACCTATAAAGTTTAAGTTTAAAAAATTTGGCTCTCAAAAGACATTTCAATCGTTGTACTGTTGATATTTGGCTCTGTTGACTGAAGAGTTTGCCGACCACTGGCCTAGGATAATAGCTATTTATTTTAATTTTATGTCCATGGAGAAATTTACCTAATAGTTTTATTAGTACAAAATGTTGATGTTTAGCCTCTTGTTCTTTCCTATACTAACATTATAAAACTATGTATAAAAGGTAATTCCTCAAGTGTAACTTTGCATTGCTTTTTAAAATTTAGGTGAACTGAGCTGAATGAAAATCATGGTATGCTTTTCATGACTAGGTAATTAGTGTAGCATTAATTAATAGCTGAGTGTAAAGTGAATAAAGAATTGGCAGTGAATGATGAGTTGAGTAAAAGTCCCAAGGGCACTATGGAGTACATTGTTGACAGGGGGATGGATGAAGACAGACCCAAGAACAGTGCAACTTGAATGGCAAAATCCTATATAAAGATCAGAAGCAGACTGTTTGGCAGAAAGAAGCTAAGAGAGTAATTTGGCATGGCTGTTTGGCAAACACTGAATAAGAGTTGAATGTGGCAAATGATGTAGAGCGTAGAGCAGGGGTTGGTGGACTTTTTTATAAAAGGCCAGATAGGGAAGATTTAGGTTTTTAGGTTTTATGGGCCATACCTCTGAAACAGGCCATAGATAGTACTTAAATGAATAGGTATGGTTGTGTTCCATTAGCATTATTTATAAACAACAGGCATCTGGCTAGATTTTGCCCACAGGTCATAGTCTGTGGACTCCTGATATAGAGTGCACAAAGGTAGAATTTAAATTTAATGGGATATGGTGCCACTTTTGAGTGAAAGTGCTTGTAGCATATCTTTCTGCAAGGAAACCAACTAAACTTTTTGGTAAATCTATTCTTAAATATTTTAAAAGGCTTTTTTATTTGGAAAGGTAAATGTTCTCATTCTTCTTGAAACCTTTGTATAGCTAATGGCAAGATTTTATCATTTAGGGTTAGGAAGCAAGAAGCATCCATTACATCTTCTTATACCACATGGAGCATTTCAAATAAGAAATCTACCTACCTTGAAGCACAGTGATCTGTTGTCCTGGTTTGAAGGTTGCAGAGAGGGTAAAATTGAAGGAATAGTATGGCATTGCAATGATGGCTGTTTAATCAAGGTAATGGCAGAAAACAGCTTGTGGAATTATGTCCTCTTATATTCCTCAAAGTAGAAGTGGCACTAAAATGCTTTCTACCAATTGCAGTAATTCTGATGGTGCACTCAAGAAATTTAATTTGTTCATCTCACATGCCACCATTCTTATATGATAGTGTTTTCCAGTGTACTTGTTCTGTGGGGCATCGGTTGTTCTAGATGTGCTTCAGAACTAAAGTGATAGAAATGTCTGGAAAACCCTGCATACAACATATTCCCTTCTTGGAAATTCATGTTGCATATTAGCGTGCTCTGAGACATTCTGTAATGACAGCATTTAATCCTGTTTAATCCAGCATTTCCCAAACTTACTTGGTTATAGAGTTTGTTGGTTAGAAAGTGCCAAGGGTCAGTTAATATATACAGAATGAATTATCTTATACTTTGTGCCCTTTCTGTCTGTCTCCTGGACTTGACTATTTGATTTCTCACAGGTTCTTAAAATTCATGTTCAAAACTGGACCTAGTTATATCAACCCCCTGACTCCAACAATTCACTGAAGCCAAAAACTTAAGATACATTTTTAACCCCACTCTTCATTACTTCATACATACAATTATCAGTTCTTAAAGATTCTGATATATTGAATCTGTATCTTTCTCTCCAACCAATTAGTTGTTAATTTGGATTTAAGCCCAGATTCATAACTTGAGTTGTTATATCATGCTCTTAAACATTAACTTTCAGTGTTATTCCTGTCCTTTTCATTCTTTATAAATTAATGAGAATGTTACTTCCTGCATAAAATTGTTTGACATTAAGATTTTTCATGACTTGGCCCCTACTCAACTTTCTGGAACTGCCTCCACCCCCATAATCCCAAACATATCCACATTGTATATGTTCTAACCATATTTAAATAATTACAGAGAAGATATACACAATTCTGTCACATGATAGTCCCTTTGGTTAGATTGTCTCCCTACCCACAGTTGGTTAGCTTCTGAACTTATTAACAGACTCTATTATTAAGTTTTTTGGAGCCCCTCATTTATGTTTCCAGGTACTAGAAATACGAAGTCCAGCTGAACAATGTCTGCCTTCATGAAGCTCACATTTTAATGGGGAAGATAGATAATAAACAGATATGTAATATGTCAGGGGGAGAAGCAGCTATGAAAAAAATAAAGGGTAAGATAAAGTGGAGCCTTAAATAGTGCCTGGAAGATGGTAGGCACACAAAATAAATATTTTTAAGTCAATGAAGAAAATGCAGGTTAAAACTAATACCTTCCTTTCTCTTTCTAGGTCCATCGCCATCATCTTGGTTTATGCTGGCCAATTCCAGATACTTACATGAATTCAAAACCTGTTATTATTAACATGAACTTGAACAAACGTGACTATGCTTTTGATATTAAGTGTCTATTTCATCATTTTTCAAAAATAGATCATCAGAAATTTAGTAGGCTCAAAGATATAATACTTGATGAATAGACTGGAATTGTAATTAAAAACTAGCTTTATTGTGTTATCTTGAATCTTGAATAATATGCCATGTGTAAAAGGTGAAAATATCTCAAGGTTCCTATTTATTGTTCAGTGACTAATGGAGAAATAAGTCTTCTAGCATTTGAAGAAATGAATTTTCCAGTTGGAACTATCTAGTCAAAGTCTTATTTAGAATCAGCAAATGAATTTTAACCTCTGGATTTAAAAATGTAAGTAATAGTAAGCTCCCCAGCTTGTACAAAGGGTTGGATTCTGTCCACTATAACTGAGTAGTAATTTAAAGACAACAATGAAACCAACAATTTTGGATCATTTACTTTCAAAATTAAATACTTTAAGCTGAGTTTAATTTAATCTTGCTTAACATTTAACAAGACATATGGCTCAGCCTTATTGTATATATATACAGATATATATATACAAGTTATAAATACATATAAAATTTAAGAACCATGACACATATATAAATAGGTAAGAATATAAAACCCCAATTTTAAATGTTAAAATTGTTATTCTCATATTTAAAAACTTAAAACATTATGAATGTACAGAAGTTCACTATAGCTCATTGCCTACTTGATAGTCATAACTTACTTTAAAAATCTTCAAATATATACTTTTCTAATGTGTTAAAAATTTCATACAACTTTATTTACTAACATTTCAAATTCAGGTAAAGGTACAGGGTATTGGAAAGGATATCATGTAGGTCAGAGACTTGTAAATAGTTAAATAAAAACTGTAATTATAGCTGGCCCTTAATAAGTAGGGAAATTGACAGGACTTCCCTCTTCGTCTTCAAACTGTTCAGAAGCAGCAACAGGACTAGTTAATTCAACTCCAAATTGTTCAGAAAGTTTTTTTAACTTCTCTTCTAAAAGAATATTTTTTTTAACTTCTTCTTTGTAGTTATACTTCAGATCTTCGATTTCTTCAAAAAACGACGGATCAACATTTTCCAGTTCTTTCTTCAGCTTTTTTATTTCCTCCTAATAGAAATATATTGTCTTTAAAAGACATCAATAAGTATATAATACACTCCTTAGGTTTAAACTAAAGAGATTTAATTATAAACATGAGCACCAAAGTAACCTGAATAGCAAATATAAAGACTGAAGTATTAAGATTTTGTTAATAAGATTTTATTGTGCAGTATAAGTAACTAACTTGTTAAATGCCAAATCAAATGACCTGTTATGTAAGTTATGTCCTAGTCTTTGACTAAAATTTATTAGCTCTTAAATTAGAGGGGGATTTCATCTTTCTCCAAAAGCATACTTTCAGATACTCAGTGAGGCAAGCAAAAAGACATGGCTATTCACAGCATTAAAGTTGTTTGGTTAATATTCTTTAGCTTAGGCTTCATTTATATTTTCTTTACAAATATGTAATTTGTAATGAATAATGGTCAATTTCTAATATATTTGTGATCAGGGAAATTCTAGGACTTCTTGCCTAGCTAAGAGCTATGCATCTGGTGAAGAGGCAATTTGAGATTTAGAATAGCCAATAATCACTAGTGAACTTTCATATCATGTTCTTTTATTCTATTTACAGACATAAAGCATAGCAAATATCTTTTTTAAGGGAGGGGAACTATTCCTGAAAAGATTTTCAAAAGGAAATAAAAGACTGTTCGCAATGTGACCGAAAATATTAAAATGAGCTCTATATTTGTGACAATTAAAAAATAAATTTATTCTTTAATCCTATTTGTTTTATCTCAGTTTTTTTGGTAGCTCTTATATATTTTTTAACAGTTGAATATAATGGACTTCGCAATGTCAAGGTCAAATTTAAAATGTAGTCCCAGGAATTTTTATGATACATACTTAAAATTCAAACATGGTGACCATAAAACTTTTCAGCAGCTGTTTTCATAAAGCATTTATCCTATATAATGAAAGCCTAACATGCTAAGTGTCAGGTCGTCCAGTCAACCAATCAAAGTGTAATATGCTAATGATGTTATTGCCGTTCAACTACTCTCTATGATGTGCACTTACCACCAGGGGGCAGACAGTTGACCAGTCGCTATGATGTGCACTGACCACCAGGGGCAGATGCTCCAACCGGTAGGTTAGATTGCTACTGGGGTCCGGCCCATCAGGACTGACCAAGGCGGGCCGGACATGCCCTGGAGCCCTCCTATGGTCCCTCCCTGGCTGGCCAACCTCCCATGTCCCTCCCTGGCTCTGATTGTGCACCGGTGGGGTCCCTTGGCCTGGCCTGCACCCTCTTGCAATCTAGGACCCCTTGGGGGATGTTGGAGAGTCGGTTTGGGCCGAATCCCGCAGGCCAGGCTGAGGGACCACACTGGTGCGCGAATTCATGCACTGGGCCTCTAGTAATACTATAATTAGATATATTACCTTCAAATGCTGCTTTTCTAGATCTGAAGTCTTCAGCTGTGTCTCTAGATCCTTTATCTTTTCCTTTAGTTGATCATGATCTGCCAAAAAAAAAATATATAAAAGGCTAATATGCAAAGTGTCCCCTTGGGTGTTTGATCACTTGCTATGACGTGTTCTGACCACCAGGAGGTGGCGCGGAATGAAGGAAGGCCCCGGCCAGCAGTCAGAAGGCCCCGTGTTTTTTTTTTTTTTTTGTGTGACTACTGACTGTCTCCTGTTTACTCCATCAGAAAAGCTGATACAATAGCTGTGTTCCCAGATGCCCTTTTTCTGGCAGTCACAACAGGAAGAGGCCTGCGAAGAACCCCAGGGAGCAGTCTTCTCCGTGAGGCTGCAGCACTCAGGTTTATCACGGGAAAAACCCAATGATTCAGTCTTTGGCGTCTCCCACTCCATCCGCATTGATGGCAAACATAGCTTCAGCTTCAGGCAGACAGGGAGAGTCATAGATTTTGCAGATTCTGGTTTCCCCTCTTCCTTTTCTCAGGTACAGTCTGGTTGTTGAGGCATGAGCAATGATATTTCCTCCAATAGGTTTTTTAGGATCTGCAGCAAACATGGCTGCTCCATCCACTTGGGCTACCACCTGGTTGGTGATTACCACAGCTACACCAAACTCATCAGCAAGTCGCAGAAGCATCCGCAGAAACCTGGCCAAGTGCATCTGCCTGGCTGACAGTTCACCTCGACCGGAATAGTCTGTTCTGTAGAGGGCGGTGGCACTGTCCACAATCAGCAGTGCATACCTGGACTCTACCATCATAGCTGATGCTTGATAAAGCAGCTGGGTCTGGTGGTCTGTGTTGAACCCACGAGCATATGCTACATTATCTAGGACATCACTGCCAGAGAGGCCATATCTCTCAGCCACTGCTAGCAGCCGCTCTGGCCTAAAGGTACCCTCGGTGTCAATGTACATGGCCTTTCCTCCACCTCCACCCCGGTCAATGGGAAGCTGGCATGTTACAGCCAATGTATGACAGATCTGGGTCTTCCCAGTTCGGAATTCTCCAAACATCTCTGTGATGGATCCAGTTTCAATTCCTCCTTGAAGTAGTTTGTCCAGTTCTTTGGAGCCAGTAGTAATCTGTATGATCTCTGATCGCCTTTGGTGGAACTCAGTTGCAGTGGTAAAACCCATCGGAACTAATTTAGCTGCCTCAGTCAGAATTTTATCAGCTTTGGCTTCACTAATCCCCCTGATCGCCAGCCAGGCCTAGGGACCCTATCCATGCACGAATTTCGTGCACTGGGCCTCTAATTTATACATACATATATATATAAATTAACTAGACCCAGCGTTTTTCTACTCTAAGATAAAGGGATTAACCCTTTAAGATAAAGGGATTTGTTTTAGAGAATAAGGATAAAACTTATGAAAGTAGAGCCCAGAAATGTTGCATTTTATGGATTAAACACTTTAGGCTGTGAATACTATATGTTACCTCTATTAGGTAATATAATTTCATGGCAAAGAGAAAAAACATTTGCCAGATATTCGATGTAAAGGGTGAGGTTAACTTTTTACATGGAAGAAACTTATTTTCCAAAAAAAAATTCTAAAGCCAAGAAAAGTTAAGTACTAAAAGTACAACAGGAGAATAAGTAGACTGTTGGGTAAAGTGCTACAACCATAAGCTGCTCAAATTGCCCCTGTTACCTAGCAGCATTGGCTTGTCCATGTAGGTCATTACTCAATTACTGTGTAATTGCCATATAGAAAACATGCTAGGCAGGATGGATAACACAAACATGAATAAGTCCTGATACTTAGGTGGAAAAGGTAAGTACAAAAACAGCATAAGGGTTTTAATTTATGGATTTCCTCCCCAGAATTAATGTCTAATTTTATAATGAGAATCAATGGGCAAATGGTATTTTTGCTGTAATTGCTGTCTTCTGAAAACATTTTCTTTAAATTAAACACTTCCTATATGGTGTCATGTCATTTTGCAAACATTGAAGGGTATAATTAAAAAAGCAATAATAAAGTTTAGGAAAATAATGGGCAGTAAACACATTTTTATGAATGGGATAAGAAGTATATTCTAATAAGGTGCCTATGAAAGGGTCCTCTAATTGTTAGTTGGAGACAGGAAATATTTCCCTCACCCTTTTCATGGAAATAGCAGAACCCATCTTCCTTTGGAAGGCAGAGCAAAATCGTACTTTTCAAAGCTTCCCTCACCTTTGCAGAAAGTGCTAATGATTTTTTACAGAATTGATTCTTAATCACTGGGATGCTGTATTGAGAAGATTGTCTTAATCAGTGTGCTGCTATATATTACATTGGTTGGTAATGTGTAGCACTTTTCAAAAGTTAGTTTAATAACCACTTATATTAAAATATAATTTCCATAACAGTTAAGGCTTGATTTTGAGCCTTAATCTTTGCAATATAATATGGGGGTTCAGAAATTCCCTTTCAGGAAACAGGTTTAGAACTTGCCTATTAACAGCATTACCAGGTCTTTGGTCTACTGTGTCTAGTCCACTACACCAAGCTAGCTGCTTTGAGAGATACCATTGAGAGAGAGGCTATATGTACTTTTAGTCACCGAGTAGCAATGCAGCATACTGGTCAATGGCAGGAAATAAAGAGGAGCTTTGGAGTTTCCTGGATTCAGGTTTCATCCTGCCCCTGCCATTTTCTACCTGTTGTGACCCTGGGGACAGGTAACTTAACCTCTTAAAATTTGTTTATCACAGGAAAAGGGAGACAATAGTACCCACCATACAGGATTATAAATTATAAAATGGTCGTAAAGGATTTAGCATAGTGTCTGGTACAACTCATACCACATGATAGCTTTAATACAAAGTAGCAAGACTATGTGAATAAGCTATATGAAGTAATCATGTGGTTCAGATATTAATTGGTATAATTCTTTGGCACAGAATTTGCCATTTCCATCAAGTGTCAAACATACAGCTCAAATAATGGATTCTCATTATTTACAGTAGTTATGGTCTATAAAGTCAACACAATGAATTAGTGAATATTGAACCATTGCTCTTAAGGGAAAATTATATATATATATATATATATTTATTTATTTTTTTAGATATAGATAAAAATATATAA